TTTTATCTTTTCATTTATGCACCTATTAAACGCTTAATAAGTATGAGATTTATTCATTATCTCGCGTAGTATATGTTAAATGACAAGTGAATTCTGAAGGTTCACTGTTCACACTGTTTATCGTTGACCGTGACAATCAGACAGTCAACTGATAGTTAAAAAATGATTTAAAGGTTCTTATTTTACTACATAGTAAACTTGTAAACCATGCATAATAACGATATCGTTTAAACAGGGTGATGGTGAAAAAACAACAAAATATGTATCATTTTGTTGTTTTCAGAAATTAGTGTCTACCTAATTCAACTTATTATCTTCTTATTTTAAAAAACTGAAAAAATATTGAAGAACGAGCTAATAAGAACGTTGGCAAATTTTTCGCTCAACCCTAGGAAAAAGCATGGTCTTCTTTTCTTGCTTTCGCTCCACCTTGACTGTGCTTTTTGATTATTGCCGTTCTTTTACCAATCAGTGTTTACATTTCTTGAGCGTAAGCATAATTTGCTGCTTTACCTTAGAGGTAGTCCTAGTTTGGTATAAGAGTTAGTCGGTGTCTCAAAATTGGCAGATGCTCTTCACATCATATGGCTGTCATCGCAGCAATTCTCTTACTATTTGCATCCGTCTGCGATGTTCAACTATTACTGGAGGTGGTAAGGATACAGTAGGGATTTTTAACTTTGACTTTTTCATCCTTCACTTTTGTTGCTACTAATTTTAACAATGTTCAGGTCCAGAAAACAAGTGGGAACTGGCGATATGTGCATAAATGCCATGCTAGAAGAGCAAATTTTGGTGCTGAGATACCGTCTTTCGGTCACCGTGATGAAATAAGTAGTTGTGTGGCTTTCTCTTCGCCAAGAGATGCTTGCTGCTCAGTTCCAGTCAGTTCCTACCTCTGCGACTATAAGTTTTTTGAAGATTGCAATGATCAATCCCAAACTCATCTGTCCACCTGCTTCACTCGTTTTTTATTAGCTACGCATAAAGGTTTTAGAGCGTTCCAAATAATATAACTGGCTGCGAGGAATTTTTCGCGCTTTCCAGTTATGGTCGTTGTGATCCATCCTTGAAGGTTATATTTAGGGTTTTTGAAAGATAACTTCTAACAAACTAACTCAGTTTCTTTTAAAATTTTTGTTGTCCAGTTTGGGTATTTCGCTCTATCGTAGGCCTATCAAGTCCAGTCAGCCCAATTTAGTGGCCTGATTGTATTTGGTGAACCTGGCGAAAAACCTGTAGTCATGAATGGGAAAACACTAGCAGACGCCATCCATATCCCTGTTTTGATGGTAAGCTACAGATGTGTGAGCCGAATCATGGAATCTTATCGCCCAGAGAACGGGTAATTAAATCACGATGATTTACGAGATTTACGACTGGTGACTTGACGATTTATGCTCATGTTTGGTGAATAATTTATGTTTGGATCTCAAGGAAATACTGCAGTGCTGACTGTTCAATTCTATCCAGGTACAGAATTGAAATACGGGCTGTAATGTCGTGTTACGACGTCATCAAATACCTCGTTCCATTTATTGGAATCATTGCGTTATGTTTTACGATCCTTTTCGCCTCGCTGGTATGTCTTGCCTCAATCCTTCGTCAGTTCATTATTTTTGCGCTTAACATATGTTCTTAACTGGTTAAATAATTCAGTCATTTCGGATGTGTCACGAACGCATTCGTGTCTCAAAAGACCGCTTATCGAAATCCAATCTGAAGAAATTACCAACTCGGAGATGCAAAAAAGGTATAAAAGCTTGTTTCAGACTCATTGAGTGCGTATCTCGAAACGCTTATTATATCTGTAAAGAATCCGCCTTCTACTGCGAAATTTTTCCGTTGACTTCTAATAGGTGTGTGTTTTGCAGGTGACGAAGTGGAAACTTGCGCTGTTTGTTTGGATGATTTCAGTGAAGGTGATAAGGTCCGACTTCTGCCTTGCAGTCATGGTTAGTTTCTGAGTAACTTTGCAAATCTGCCGGTTAAAGCTTTATTTATTTTACTTTTACAGCATATCACTGTAAGTGCATTGATCCATGGTTAACAAAGAAACGTCAAGTATGTCCGTTGTGTAAAAAGAAAGTTCTCTCATCTGGCAACTCAGATTCATCAGACGCAGAAATTGAAAGAAGCCGAAGCGTCAGTGATGGGGGAAGTGAACGTCTGGATGGTGCTTCGCTGCTAGACGCTGAAAACCTGGTTCACTATTTTTGCTCATTTTGTTTTTTAATATTCGTTCAAATCTTTACGAGGTTCAGGATTTAGTCACGTAATAAACAGAACGGTATTTCACTGAATGGGAGATTTCTCTGTTGCAGTTTCTTTCTCCCGCATGCGATGAGTCAGGCTGTCTTGGACCGAGGACCTATTCGATTACTGTCGACGGAAGCATCAGTAAACAAGGTACTGTAGTGTACTTCGTCAGATGAATTACAGAATTCAGTGGTAGTTGTCCAGAATGATTTTCTTTAAAGGTAATGCGATCTACGGCTCTCCCATGCAATCACCAGTTACGAACTTGGGCACCAGCGGCGACGCATGTTGTGGAGACGTTATTACTTGGAAAAGCGCTAACGTAGCTGGAAATGATTATCATCTCCTAACTCAGGGTTTGGAAGATGGGGAAGAACATCACCGCATGGACAAAGCTGTTCAAGTATGTGGTTTAAAAGGTCCTTTGGCATAGCTTTAAAGGCGATGGCAATTTGCCACGTTCCGAGCAATGCTAATTGTGATTCCCTTTTCGTTTATGAACTGTCTGACCGTCTGCACTTAGGATTGTAAAGTCGCCAGGTCTTTTCTTCAAGTATAACACTTCAAGCTTCTTAGTTTCGTGCTTTATAAGTGGCAGGCATCAGTTTCTAGGATAGTGTGTTTGGATAGTTGCCGTTTTGGTTCAAATTGGTGGCGGGAAATTCACTGCAGCAATGTATTCCATAGTCAGTGTTAGCACGCTTCGTTGTAAAAGTTATATATCGTATTAGTTGCAAAACTTTATGTTGGTTGCTGGTGGCTTACTGTGTTTGAAAGATTATGAGAGCACCTTTTTTCAGTAGTACGACCGACCCTGCTATTATACTTTTCGTAGCAATCAGGCTTAGCTTTGTTTGTTAAGCAACTTAGACAGTTTTTACAATAGCGTTCCATATAAGAGTTGGCGATTTACCCTCTTGTGGGAGTGCAGTTGAAAATTAGGCTTTTAATGGGATTTACTGTTACATAAGTGAAGATGGAAATCTCTGTTACGTTAACGGTAACCTAATCGTTTGCTCTTGGCGACACGATCAGCCAGTCACTTTATGCCTTTGCAGTACTTTCAGTCTTCAGTTCCTCTTTTCAGGCTGACTTCGTTGTTAAAGTGGAAGATGATTCTACTGCATTTACAAATTAGGAGGCGTTTTAGAACTGCAGCTTCCAGAAGACATCAATGACAGTATTGTTGTTCTTTTTTTTACTTTGATTCCTCAGGGGTTACTCACTTTTTATTAACAATCTTTGAACTGGTTTTACCAAAATTTTTGCTGCTTTAGTTTCGAATTGAGTACACGTATCAGAAAAAAAGGGGAAAGGAAATCGAGAAGGTTTTCATTTTGGTTCTATTTCAAAGTATCTTTTTAAATCTCACTGCACGTAAGACTACTGAGTATACTAGTTGATTAACTTTATGTTTTTTACATGGTTTGCTTAGTAGTTTTCATTGCACTTATTTCACGTATATCCAGCTCAATTTACCACTGTATTTTATTTTATTACTGTTTATTGGTGTACAAACGTTTTCGAAATGGGACAGGAACAAGTTTTCTGTGTGGTAATTTGTGAATGTTCTTCGAAATTGTATCACCGCGTGGGGGCCATTGTTGTTGTTAACCGTCTTTAATTATTTGTTTTACCTATTGGTACTGGTTTGATTTTCTTCCTTCTTTCACTCTCAAATTCCTCTTCTTGTTTTAACCGTTTAATTATAAGCCGCTTGAGACTGACGTAATACTTTATTTTTTTGTCTTCATGTCTTAATTCTGTTGTTTCTTTCATTATTGTTGTTGAACACCTTGGCCGGTTATCAGCACATCTGGCTCTTTGTTGTTTGTTGGTTCTTCATTGTCTGCGTTTATCCATGCGTAGCTTTTCTCTCTTTTGTTTGGGCCTTTCGACTAAGATCTCATGTTTTTGCTGGTACAACTCCGTTGTTTTTTCTTTTAGTTTCTTTTGTTTTCTTTCTACTATGGAAAAGATCTTAGTCTACTAAAATGGATGTTTTCTGAAAGTTTGTTTGTTCACCTACTTCCAAGAAGTTTTGGGGATATGGTTGGTTAGCAAGGCAGGGCGCGGAATCCTTGTCGTAAATCTAGGGTTTCCGTTATAAGTAGTTCCTTATTTTCTAGTGTATTTTAACACCTTACCATTTGTTAGGTAAGACCTATTGTTTTAAAATTTGCGAATTGTGTTTTGGGACAAAATAGCGTTGTCGCAACTTAGCGTAGCTTTGAAGTAGCGTAACGCTTTTAGCAAGTGAGAAGGAAATGAAGGAAAATTATTGGTACGACACTCCTTATGAAGGGGTTCAATATTAATAACTGATGCCTTTCTATCGTGTAGTAGAGAAGCTGTAGGCCCTCTGCTACTGGGAAAATTTTAAAACTATCGGGTTTTAGACGTTTATGGTTCTGTTTTGCTTAGTGGCAATGGTTGCTGTAGCATGGTTATGATTTTAAGGGGCTTAAGCAGGTCCTTATTATTCATCTGGAGTTGACCGGTGTTGTGATGTTTGTTGCATTCATCAGTTGGTTCTACATTAAGATGTGTCTTAATACGGGATAGAGTTCAAATGAGTACGGTTAAAATGTGCAGTGTTTAAGATGGAACATAGAACAGTTATTTCCAGGTGAAGAAGTCACTATCTAGTCGCGTCTCGATAAGAGTAATTATGTGCTACGGCGTTTACTACAGGTAGGGAAGTAACACTGTCATGATAATTGAATTGTGATGTCCTTGTAATGTACAGTATCAGCTATTCAAAAAGAAAACAAGCGAAAGAATGAGTGGTTTACTTCAACCGTTTTTTTAAAAATATTCTCTCCTTTCAAATTTTTGGATTTTTAACCAACTGCAGTTTGTATGTTTTGATTTTCACTGCTTAAAGAGGTTTCTTTCAATTTTGAATCCTGTAGCTATATTTTCTTGGCTCCTATTTTCTTCTTTATGACCATGACGAATCAGCAAATTATTACTTTGATGTCGGTGACTTTTGTTATCTTTTCACTTTTCAGAAGTGCTGCTTTCAAGTTAACGTCCAGTTTATTTTCATTAACATATTTCTTATCTAATTCTGGCTTTATTTGTCTTGACTCCATTTTCATTTTGCTTATTTGATTTCAGGCTCTCCACACCACTTTGTATGTGTGAGATTCCACCGTCTCAAGCAAGCAGTTCAGCGACTGTCAGTCATTTCGTGATCAATCGGTATCGCTTTTTTCCTTATTTGTTACGTGATACTGTTGTAAGAACCTATCCGGTTTTTATTTAAATCGGTCTTTTTTTTGCATAAAAGGATGTATGGTTTTCCTTGGCGTCACAACTTCCTCCCCTACCAAAGCAACTAATTTGTTCTTTATTATAATGCTTTATTATAATTTGTCCTTTCTATACTGTAGACTTTCGAGGATTTTTAGAATTTTCAAAACGACATTTTAACGGACGTCAACTAACAGAAATTTTAAATTTAAGCTGTTTTGTCGTTAAGTGGACAAGTGTTCTTTACATAAAGGAGATTCGTCATAATCGCCTCTGGCTGTTTCCTACTTTCCTCAATAAGTGAGAAGCTTTGAGAAAGTGGTTGGGAAAGGTGGGATTTAGCTGCTTCGTTTAAGAAACGTTAACATCTTTCAAGTGCTGTTACTGTTTACGTGTTCTACGGTAGTGCTAGGGAGCGAGCGTTTTGTCCTTCTATAGAAAAAATGTGTTTTATAAATTTTTGAATTAATTTGGGTAGTTTAAACGGTCAAAGGCAGGGGTGTAAGGTAACGACCTAGCAGTTTAAATCGGCATTAAGTAAAGTTTTGCTGGCAGTAATCCTAGGCGATATAATTATTGACTTGCAATTCACAAATGGGTTCAGCATGGTCTGGCTATGGTTGGGTGGTGCCTGCCTAGTTTTAAGCTCCACAGTTAATCAAGCTTTACAGTTGCCTTAACTTAATTCTCCATATGGGGTAAATAGGATGGTTTAAAATGGGCGTTTTGAACGGGAGAAAAGCAGTTTTATTAAGTTTACTTGCTAGAGTAACGCGCTTGGACTTTTTGTTTTCCGGGTACACGAACAAAAAAGGTAAGCGTATTCGCAATCAAGACTGCACCTCCTATTTCGTTACGGTACTTTTGAAACACTTGACGAGTCTCGGAATTCTGATCTTAATTTTTTTGAGTGTCCGTTCGGTGGGACAGAGTGACTCCCGCAGTTGCCCTACTACAAACCAGACATAAATAATTTATTGAACCATTAATTCACAAACAAGATTCTAGTCTCCATAACCAATAATGAAAACCATGAAAAAACCAGTGCTGATTAAAAAAGAACAACAAGCAGTAATTCGGGGACATTCATTTCTTAATAACGATTCTGTGCAATTGTTTTGATTTCTAGCAGGTCAACCGTCCTTGAAGAATTTTAGTTGGGCTTCGGCACCGCTACGCAACTGTGGTTTAGGGCTTGCTCAGAGTTCAGGATGGTTGGAACGACCCGACAAATATCACAAACAGGAAACATTTTCATGAGTAAACTACTGAGATGCGAGCCAAAGACTTTTCGCATTCATCAAGAAGGTGTGGTGTAACAGGACGTTGGCTGACCTTAAAAAATTCTGTTACAGATTACCCTAGCGCGGTACAAATTAGGAACAACTGCGGTAAGCTAGGAAAGTACATGTTACTCTTCCCATTTCTGCACTTCATACAAAAACTTTTATGAATTGGGGTTTGTTAATTATGATGCGAAGTCTTCTTACTTGTTTGTGGTTGTATCATTGAAGGGTTAGGTGCATTTGAGTACGTACTGCTGTACTGTTGTGTGCTTAAAGGAGGTGACGGTAGCGTCGAAATCCCGATGCCTAATGAATTTAGTGGAGGCATGGGGAAAGTAGGGAAGCTCATAGGTGCCCCTTGGACTGATACAGTGGGGAAACTGTTATTGGTAGGGTTCAAAGAAGATGTCTGTGGGATAGGAGGAACATATGACGGGACTTGTGACGAGTAGTTGCTGGACGGAGCAGAAAACATGGGAGGAACAATGTTTGGCACTGTCATAGGTGGCTGTGTGGCTGAAAAAATTTACAAATCACACGGATGAACTAGGTCGCAATAATTTTGAAAGACATTTCACCGTGTGGTGGCTGCTGGAAGGCAGCAGGTATGTAATAGTTTGGCTGCTGTTGTTGGTGGTAGGTGGAAGTTGGTAGCTGTTGTTGGCTTTGAACACCACTGATCTGAATAAGACTATCTTGTAACTGGTTGTGCTAAAAATGAGAAGCAATTTCATAAAACCTCCAAGTTTGCTGTTGAAGAAGTTATAGAAGATATTGATGGTTCTTTCGCATCTTGCATAGTAGGAGCTGTTGTAATATGGTACTGGGGACTATAACTGCTTCCTGATGAAACTGACGCTGGCTGGGGTGGGAGCAGAATTGGAGTTGAAACTGCACTCATTGAAGTTTCAGAAGTGGCTATCTAAAATTTACCAAATATTAGTCTTGTGTCGCGATTATGGAGCAAAACAAATAAAATGTGGTAAAAAGAAATTATCTATTTACTAGAGGTGGAGGCGGCACACAGTTATTGTCATTTGTACCCGAAGCACTCGGTTTTTCTGACAAGGAACTAATGATTGTTCCCACCTAAACAGCGTTGTTCAACTGAAGTCAAAGAAAAAAATGTTTTGTTTCGCAAGTCTGTTTTGTCAGAACCTAAAAACCGTTGAAAAGGCCTTAAAAGACCAGGTGTAAGAGTAGTGAATGAAGTGTAATTCAAAAATCAATGACTGTTACGTCTTTCATTGCTACATCTGCCCTTTTACCCTGTTTCTTTAAAATAAGTAACCTGGTTTTCATTCAGGCCTGTCAATTAATGAGTACACCTGGGCGATGTACGTTAATGATCATATTGAAACTGTGGGGATGAAGAGACCAGAAATCTCCGAAGTTTCACCAAAAAAAAAATGAACACATTTGAACAGAGGTAGAAGCAATAAGGAAACCTAACAGTCAGACAACAAAATAAAAGCTTCCTAACAGTTTGTGGGGCTGGAAATCTGTTTGGTTCCAAAAAGGCAGGTATTGGCTGAATTGCATCTACTTGAGGTATTCCCGTATTTCCTTCAAAAGAGATTTATGAGATATCGAGATGGTCGAACAAGCAAATTAAAAACTGGTTCTCCTTAATAAAAAGTTTGAAAATGACAAAGGAACAGTTACTTCCAACGCAAATTATTTAAACAGCTTCGTGCCTCCTCAAAAAATACTTTTACTTACTCGCGAATGGCAAGGACCCCAATACCGAAAGAACTGGGGACAATCGATAATTCACAAAATATTAACCTGGTTGAGGAACTGTGACAGTTGGGACCGTCGAAACAGAAACAGTATCTCCGGGGCTCTTTGCAAGAAAAGGAGTTTTTTCACTTAGTGACGCCCCTGCCGTTACCGGTATTCTGTGCAAATATCCATAACCGATATCACATCCAATACAACCTTCCCCACCCCATGCTGAGTTCGGAGTAAGCGTAACCTAAAAAAATGTAAAAATTCGACTACTATAATAAATAAGTATTTCATCCGTCGATGAGGTCCATGAGTTCAATAAAATTGAATTCGTTTTTGAACGCATCGTCTCGACTTTTTACATATAAGGTTAAGCAATAAGTAGCAGCGAACTCAATTTAAACTTTTAGTGGATTAAAAGAATTTTTTGATAATGGAAATTAGCTCCAGTGAAACGACTATAACAAATCCCAACTTCTAGATTAAGTATTAAACTAAAGCAAGAAAAACTTGTGACCATACTTAAAGATATTAAAAAGCTAAAAATATCTTAAAAAAATTAGAAAATTTAATCAAGCACTTCTTTTAGTCGCTGCCGTGTAAACTAAAGTAAAACAAATAGACAATCGAATAGGAAAACGCAGCAAAAAAAGGTAAACCAGAAAGTCTATTTACTTCTCTGACAGAATCGGTATCCACATTATATACATAGAGTTTTATCGGCTTCCCCTCGTTCGCTTGTACGTGAGCAAAAAGGTCTTCCGCCTGAAAGAACCGTTAACAGGTGACGGAACCTCAATTTCAGGTACAGTAATAATCAGTAAGTAAACATCCAATGGCTGCTTAAAACTAATACCGTGTTCAAAACAGATTCAGCGCCAAGAACATAATCCTTATTAGCAACCAGACCAGCAATAGAAGCTGGAGAGTTTGGCTGCACTGATACAATATGCCATACGTTCGCCCTGCACTGTTCGAAGGAGCAAAAACGTATTGAAATTCCCAATAAACCCTGTCCACCCCACATCTGTGAAGGAGTTATTTGGGTCTGACGAACTGTTTGAGTTTTACTAAAAATTAGATCTAAAAATCTATTATAACTAATCCCACTAAAATCCTTTCGAATATTATCTAAATAGTAAGAATTTCAAGCAAAACTCAGTCGGATTTAAAAAGCTAGACGTTTATTGATTGTACGACAATCAAGTTATACTTGTTTCAGAAAAAAAATCTCAGAATACTTTTTTTAGAAGCAATCATTTTCCCCCACCACTTCACTAAAAATGATATCTCAGATCCAATCCTGTGCAATTCTCAATACAGTCAAATTTTTACCCTAAATAACAAGGAGAAAAAATTAAAATATACGACCGAGCTTAAGAAAAAATTAAGAAGTGTTTATCAAATAAAGAAAATTGTTTAAGAAAAAAGCAATAGAAACTACAACTATCTAAAAACTAAATTTAAAAAATCCACAAACTACTTTAGTTTTTTATATACCACTGAAAAAATTTAAATGGATTCAAACCTATTGAAAATTGTAAGCTCCACTGGTCTTTCGACATGCTGCTTGAGAATTTCCTTCATTGTGTCGTCGTCTCTATCCTAAACGGGAGTAACCATCAAACATTTTATTTAACCAATTGAGGACGGTGAAAGCTTTTAAAATTACTGAACTTCAAACTTCTTTACTGAAGAAGCATGTTTCTGCTGATACAAG